TCCCACATTGGTTAGATGAACTGTAACCAAACTGAATGGTATTTTATATAATTTTGTTCCTCTAGATTGTGTGTTATATGAAGGTAGGAAACATGCCTTTTTTTGCTCACCTATATTTTTGTATATGTGTGTATACACACACACACACACATATACACATACACATGTGTCAGTATATAGGAAGTTCCAAAAGAAAGGTAATGTTGGATGAGTAAAGCAAGATACAGAACATCATAAATAGAACATCATAAATAACATGATCTTATTTTTATAAAACAATGATCTTCTGAGTCTCTGCACATGTGTGTGTGTGTGTGTGTGTGTGTGTGTGTGTACAGAGAAAAATAAGAAATTATACAATGGGTTGTTAATACAGGGTACCTAGGAGAGTACCATTGTCAGAGAGAAGGAGAGGAAAAAAAGAAAGAAGAAAATATGCAAAATCTATGTTACAAATTATAATTATGGTGAAAAGTTATATTTTAATCATTTAAATAATGGAACATTTAAGAACTATCTGAAATGAAGCAAACAAAAGAAAAACTAAAAGAATAAGATGACCCATTAATTAATATCGTATTTGCATTCTAGAAGAGAAACAGCCACTAAGTGAGAAAAATAATGTCGTTTTTACAGTGGTACATCCTCTGAAGAATATTAACAACTAGGAAATAGGTAAGGGGAGATAGTCCTGAGCCCAGGAAAGATGCCAGGGGTTGGAAAAGTAAATTTCAGATACATCTGGGTACAGATAATACAGAAAGCAACATAATTGGATGTGATCTCCAAAGGAGTGAGAGTAAGAAAGAGTTAAGTACTATGCCCCAACATCTATAGAATGGAATATTAAAAAAGGACCCCAAAGAGAAGACTGAGAAAGAATGCCCACAAAGAAACAAAGGGAGTGTTGTCCCTAAACATTCTGTTGAGAGAGATGAGGGCTAAAGTTGACTGATTAATAAGGAAGGAAACAGGAAGTCTGCTGGTGATTTTCACAAGAACAGGTGAGTTGGCATGACTTGGATGAAAGCCTGCATGAGATGAGCCACAAAGAGTAGAGATAAAGAAGTAGAAATGATGAGATAAACTTTTCAATGAGTTTCAGCGTAAAATGTCTTTCAGGGGTGCAGAGAAATGGCACAATGAATGGAGGGGCACATGGGTTCTGCTGTAGCTTGAATGTTTTTGTCCCCTCCAAAATTCATGTCCCAATACAACAGCATTGAGAGGTGTGGCATTTAGGAGGCGATTGAGTCATAAGGGCTCTATCCTCGTGAATAGGATTAGCTGTCCTTATAAAAGAGCATGACAGATGGAGTTTACCCCTTTTCTGCCCTTTCCCTCCCTTCTGCCATGTGAGGACACAGTGTTCCTCTCCTCCAGAGGATGCAGTAACAAGGTGCCACCTTGAAAGTAGAGACCAGCTCTCACCAGACCCTGAACCTGTTGATGCCTAGATCTTGGAAATCCAGCCTCCAGACCTTCCAGAAATTAATTTGTTCTTTATAAATTATCCATTCTCGGGTATTTTGTTACAGCAACACAGACTAAGAAATCATCAATAGAGGCTTTTTAAACAGTGTATTTATTATATCATCTTTGTATGCTGATACTAACAATCCAGTAGTGTGGGGACAATCTCTGGTACAGGAGGAAGAGAGATAATTGCAAGAAAAAATTCAATGAGAAGTATGAGGAAAACTCATCTAACATGGAAGGGAAGGGTTTGACCTAGTTGGAGAAGGAATAACTGGATATGTCCTCACCATTGAAGCATACAGCAATATATTACGAGAAAGTTTTTCCCCTAAAAGTAAGTAATATTTGAAGTAATTCCACTGCACTCTATTAAAGAAACAGATTTATATCACATCAGCTGTGCCCTAGCCAAAGATCCACAACTGGCAACTCCAATCAAGAAAATGAAATTTCATGAGACATCCTCCAGTTATCCAGTTATTCTCCAAAACGATAGGTTAAAAACAGATTTCAAAATATACTATAAATCTAAAGTAACCAAAACAGCATGGTACTGGCATAAAAACAGACAAATTGACCAAACAGAATAGAATAGAGAGCCCCAAAATAAATACACACATCTACAGCCAACTCATTTCAACAAAAGTGCCAAAAATATGAAATGGGGAAAGAACAGTGTCTTTAACAAATGGTGCTGGGAATACTGGATATCCACCTACAGAAGATTGAAATCAGACCTCTATCTCTCATGTACACAAAAATCAACTCAAAATGGATCAAAAACCTAAATTTAAGACCCCAAACTGTGAAACTACTAGAAGAAAACATAGGGGAAATGCTACTCAAAATGGGAGTGGGCAGTGCTTTTTCGAGAGAGACACAGGCAACTAAAGCAAAAATACATAAAAGGTAGAACATCAAACTAAAAAGCTTCTGCACAGCAACAGACATTGTTAGCAAAGTGGAGAGATAACCTGCAGAATGATAGAAAGTGTCTGCAGACTACATATCAGAATACATAAGGAACTCAAAGAACTCAACAGCAAAAAAACAAATAACCCAATTCAAAAATGGGCAAAGTACTTGAACAGACATTTCTCAAAAAAAGAGATACAAATGGCCAATAGGCACATGAAAAAATGCTCAACATCACTAATCATCAGAGAAATGCAAATTAATACCACAATGGGAATCTCACTCCAGGTAGAACGGCTATCATCAACAAGGCAAAAAATAACAAATGCTGGTGCAGATGCAGAGAAAAACAAACTCTCCTATATTGCTGATGGGAGTGTACATTTGTACAGCCACTGTGGAAATCAGTATGGAGTTTCCTCAAAGAACTAAAAATTGATCTACGTTTTGATGCAGCTATCTCACTAATGGGTATATACCCAAAGGAAATGAAATCAGTATATCAGAAAGACACCTGCACTCCCATGTTCATCAAAGCCCTATTCACAATAGCCAAGAGATGGAATCAATCTAAAAGCCTATCAACAGATGAATGGATAAAAGAAACTGTGGTATATATACACAATAGAATACTATCTAGTATTTTTTTTTAAAAAGATATCACATCATTTGCAACAACATTCATAGAACTACAAACCATCATGTTAAGTGGAATAAGTCAGGCACAAAAAGACAAATATTGCATGATATCACTCATAAGTGGCATCTAGAAAAAAAATGTTTCTCATAGAAGTAGAGAGTGGAATAATGGTTACCAGAGGCAACGGGCTGGGGGAAGGAAAAGTGGTGGACTGACACATACAAAACTATGCTCTCTACCCTAAGTGAATCATTGTGCAGTATATGCATGCATTGAAACAACACACTGTACCCCACAAATGTGTACAAGTAAATGTTAAAGTATTTTGAATAAAAAAAGGAGTAAACAGTACGATTCCATTTATCTACAATTCATGAACAGACTAATATATGGTAACATAAATCAGAAAACCAGTTGTCTCCTGGGGGTAGGAATTGATTGGAAGGCACAAGAAGAAACCTTCTGCGGTAATAGAAACTTATTGTAACTTGACTGAGGTGATTACACACGTGGTATGTTTTCAATACTCATTGAATTATAAACTTCAAATCTGTCCATTTCACTGTATATAATTATTATTTCAATTAAAAAATCAAAAAGAAAAAAAGGATGAGGATATAAACAGGTAAAATACATAAACAAATAAATGAATAGAATAATATATATTATTAAGAATATTTCAGTTTTTCTATGATCCTGGTGCCATATCATGGCAATTTAAAAAAAAAAATCTGAGGAGTATCTACTCATGTTTTAGAAGAAAAGCGTATTGCCAAGTAAATGTCCTTTCTGCTGCAATAGCTATTCTCCTGTGTAACAAGTAAGATATGATCTTAAAATCACTGATAATCAATGAACTCCTCCTGTTTTCATAACGCATGCCAACAAGAATACCGACATCATTTGGACTCATACAAAAAAAGAAAAAGAATATTCTCCCCCTTTTTGGACATTTTGTGTACTCAAAACTAGGGATTTCTTAAGCCTTACCAACAAAAACAGAACACAAATAACAGATAGAAATACAGAAATATTTTGCCACCAATTTTTAATAGCAAGTGTCAGAGAAAACAAGAAAAGATTTTATTTTCCCTATCTACAGACGTAGGCACAAAACTATACAGTCAAAAAGTTTATGTAAACTTGTTAATTACAGGAATAATAAACTAATTTTGAGTAAAATTGGCCAATTTCCTTCTTTTTATAATTCAGTTTTTATCAGCAATTACCCAAATAAGGTGCATTGTCTGGCATACATAATTTGATACTTTCAAAGACAAATGTCTACAAAGATAGTTTTCAAAGATCACGGAAAATATTAGACCTAAAGTGTTAACAACCACGTCTACTTTCTCAACATATCCAGCCTTCTTCCTATCAACAACAGTGGAATGATTCAAGAATCTTCACTGGACCCAGGAGTAAGAGATCATGATCTTTCTTTCCTTAACAGCTCTATAAAGTAGCTCAAAATCACAACGAAATATCATCTTACTCAGCAAAATCATTCTGGTAAATTGTCCTTCAATGTCCCATGCTTTTTAGCTACAACTTGTCTTTTAGATAAAAGAAAAACACCCAAATTAATCTTTTGATCATCTTTAAGTTCTCAATTTGGTTAGAAGAACAATGGCCCAGGTAACCAAAGCTGGAAAACATTATCACAGAAACCCAAACTGTGTTGATATAACACATATTTTAAGTTGAGAGAGAAAAACACAAATAAGCATGGATTTTGTAACTGATACCTGTTAATAAATCAGTCTAACGCCTTAGTTTTGAACAAAGTACTTGAATCCAAAAATAATGAAGTGGATGATATAAACTGAGTGCACAGAGACAAGTCCCCATAGAAACAGATGAGACATGAACACAAGAGTTAAAAGGTGGCTATTGTTTTAATAGATTCTGACTTGGTTTTTGTTGTTTTGTTTATTTGTTAGTTTGTTCAATTTGAAAGGCTTACCATCTAGCTGGCCAGGAAGAGTCTGCGGACTCGGCATTCTTTCCTCAAGATTGGAGCTAAGATCAGAGTTCACAGCGGACATCCGTGTTGAATCACTCATATCAAATTCATCTGCTGGCCAGGAAGAGTCTGCGGACTCGGCATTCTTTCCTCAAGGTTGGAGCTAAGATCAGAGTTCACAGCGGACATCCGTGTTGAATCACTCATATCAAATTCATCACTTTCTATTGAACTTTCATCCTGAAAATAATTTAAAATATCATCAAGTATAAAATACAATGCATTCGAATAATGACCATTTTATCAATAGGGACAACTAGAGTTTAGCCAGTAAATAAGCTTTTTACAGAAGTCAGTAAAAGATGTTACTAATAGATGCTTGAAATAACAAATAATGGAATAATTTCTCCCTTCAAGAAATTTCAAGACTTGCAAATATCCAAACAATTATATGTATATGTACAAACAGATTTTAAAAGAGAGATGATATGTTTAGGGTGAATGTAGTTTTGGAATTAGCCTGAATAATGAAAGAATGGAGTTATTAATAAAAACCTGAGTCAATTGTAAAATATAATATAAAGAGAAATACAGTTTAGATAAAAAACTAAGTGACTTAATAAAAAATTATAAGCAAAACTGTTAGAATGCAAGAAGAAAGCCTCCATAAAAACTTTTCATTGGCAAATAGGATAGATTCTTTTTTTATTATTATTATTTTTATTTTGTCAATATACAATGTAGTTATTTATTGTGTCCCATCACCGAAACCTCCCTCCCTCCTCCCTCTCCCCCCTCCCACCCAGGTGTGTCCCCTCCATTTTCTTGTTGTAAGAACTTCAAAAAAAAA